TGGACAACCTTTTTGCATAAAATCTTGAGTAAACATTAGCATTATTCACCTGTACTAGCAGTGACTTTTAGCCATTACCTACCATCTATATTAGCACATGTACTAATCAATCACTTGATTAAGTTGCAAACAATAATAACCATATCGGTATTTCATGGCTCATTGTCATTATCATCATCATCATCATCATCATCATTTAACCATATCTTTAAATTTAGTGAATCTACGCTGTCATTTGCTCACCAAGTTCTCACTATCCGGGAGAGACGGCGATTCAAATCGATTCCTATCCAAATGAGAGGTATTCCTAACACAAACCCCTTCCCCGTCGGTCGCAAACAAGTCACCTTTGGTACAACTCAGAGAAAAGTAAAAAAAAAAAGACGCGGGTCCGGGCACCTCGCATTCTCGAGAGAACCACTCTCTGCCAGAAGTGCAGGATCTTAAACCCCGACTCCCCTTGGACTTATGCCAATGGCTCTCCGCACATCCTTACTACCTCCGAAATGCATCCAACCCCACGGTTCCCGGCCCGAGTTGAGCTACTCGGCTTCATGGTCGAACGACTTATCCGCCAGCTAAGTGTTAGGCTTTGCGTTCAACATGACATGAGGACGTCAAACGTATCGGTCCTTAAACGATACCTGACGGGATAGATTCACACCCAAGACCTCCATGCCTTGTTGCTGCACTACCATCATCCCGTCCGGTCTACTTTCATTATTAACACATGGTTCTTTTTCATGATAGCCATTTTAGCCAACCGTGACCAGAGCTCATCCTACATCTCGCAGTGACAGAAATCACCCGACTTCTACCGGTCTATGCATAGCTAAGCATCATTCGATCCTACACTTAATTAGGATTCACAGGATTTTATCTGGACAAGGTAGGGATATAATGCAACAATTGGTTCCAACTAATTCCTATACTTAATGCATCATCAACAATAAAAGATACTCAAGATATTTGTAAAAACATGGGAGACTTAGAATGCTCCGGGGCTTGCCTGGGATCCGACATAAGTCAGTTCAGTTAGCTTGCACCATCCTGGTGACATCTCAGGTCCTAGCACTTGCTTAGTCCTTCCATCTTCGGGATAGATCCATCAAACACCATCTTCGGGTTCGGCTCCAACATCACATCCTTCATGTGGTTCATCTAGCGCACCTAGATGAGATGCAAGATGCATGTGCATGAATGTGATGAATGGTAACACAAGATGCATCACATAAGCATTCAAGACAAACACAAGATTATGCAAGACATAGACACCAATAGCTATTTAACTAACATCACACAACCTATCATGCTAAGATGGCAAAGAAGACGACAACACCAAGCATGACACAAGTTTTCCAAGATCTCAGGTGTATTTAACTTAATTACTAAGGACGTGAACCACACCTAGCAACATGCAAAGCAAGTCAAGGTGAAGCAACAACTATAACCGGAATATGCCAATTTCTAGACTTGCAAACAGCAGCTTCATAAATCAATCATATCTGGAGTTTTATAAATCCAAATGATATGAAACAAGACATTCTGGAAAGCTTAGGAAATTATCTACATTTCATCTTTAATCATCTCAGCATGATTCCCAAGTTAAGTAGGTCGAAATTATACATTTACAGAAACTGATCCACGATTGACAGAGAGCAATCATTTCTAAAACCTAACTTTAAACAGGCATAAATCACAAACTACTTGACCAAATGATACCAAATTTTAACAGCAGCTAGATACATAAATTATCTACAACTTTGGTATAAACAAGTTTCACAACAAAGCGCCTTATCATAAAGAACTTTGCTAGGTTCCCAGATCTGTCCATAAACCACATTTGCAAGAAAATAAATATTAACTTATGTTGCAAACACATAATTAGGCAAAACCAACTTTACCAACATGTCACACATGACTAAAGAACACCAGAAAACCTAGTGTCCATGACCAAATAAATTCTTTTAATGCATTTCTTAATTTATTTTAGATAACAAGGTGACTTAATGAACATATACCAAAAGTATACAATAAATTCTACAAAAATTACAGTGGCTCACATATCCTCTCAATAGTCTACTGTACAAATTTCACTCCATTTGAATATGTATAGCAACCTCTATGAAAAAGACAAGTCGCTAAAGCAAGAAATCATGTGAGAGCAAGATAAACTAATAACTCACTCATACTTCATCCAATACTCATGAAATTTTTACCACACATCAACTATCACATGAGTAGCATGCCACAAAAATTTCAATTCATTTGGAGCCCTAGATCTTTAGTTATGAAAAGACAAATACAACTATAATTAAAAACCTAGAGGCATAAATCTATTTTTACAGCTAAAACTTTAACTAAAACATGACATCTTATAGATCTACTGCATAGACAATTTCACAAGGATTCCAAAAAGTCCACATTTACTATTTTACGAATTTCCTATGAATTACTATGAAATTCCAAAGTTCTTGCAAAATAATCACAAACCAGTCCTCACGGCACTATTCACATGAGTCACATGTTTCGCAACTGGACCCAAGAAAGAGCTTCTAAATACACGTGAGTCCTCCTTCTTCAACCTCACGGAGACAGAGCAGAGCACCGGCTCGAGGACGTGGCCGGGCTCCGGGAATCCGGCGGGGAAGCGACCCTAGGGCAGCAGGAAGGGACAGCCGGCCTAGCCACGGCCAGTTGTGGCCTCACAACCATGCCACGCCCGGCTACAAAGAAGACAATGGCCCCAAATGGCCGGCTGACTGGCAGAAAGAAGCCAAGCTGGCCCAATGGACGGCCAACAGGCATCACCTGAGACGATCATGGCGACCGAGGAGATGGCACAGAGGAGCAGCATGAGGCCAGGAAGAGGAAGACAAGGTTGGTTGGGGCGCACGGTGCTGCTTGTGGTCGGCCATGGAGCTCCACTCCACATCCATGGTGACCGCTTTCGGATTTGGAGAGCGGAGAGAGGCGCTGGGGTGGCAGAGAGGAGTGGGGAGGCGAGTGAGGAGGGATGAGTGAGCACTCGGGCTCTCTAAATCGACGTCTTGTGCGACGTGGTGGACATCTTGAGAGAGCGAGCCAGCCACGCGGCGGTGAAGCGCTGCGGCCGGTCGGCCATTGCTACTGTTCTGAAGATTCAAAAATGTAATACCACCTCAAACATACGACTGAAGTTCGATTTTCTCCCCTCCATATCTCTCGAAACGATTAGTAATTTGATCAACTAATTAGACCATATGATAGAGCTACATGAGTACAACAACTTTGATTAAGGGACCTAGGATTGATTTGGCCTATTTTGAGAGATAAAAGGCTGCAAAGTAGGCTACCTGAAACTGAATCCTGAGTTTCAGTTTCAAGTCGATCAAACTGCATTTTCAACGATCCATAACTCCAAATCTGTTCGTCCTTTGCCACAATTTCAGTAATACAAGATGTAGAGCTACATGGGAACTACAACTTTGTCAACATGAGTTAGAGCTGGATCGACCTAGATTGGGAGTTACATTGTTCCAAAGTATGAACCCCGAAACTGTAAAACAGCTTAACACTTAGTGAAATTTGCTAAGTCTAAAACAGCCCCAATTCTGCCATGTGGGCCACTTTTGAGGGTGTTCTGATCATTTTCATGAGATGACCATAAAACAACTTTTGTTCCTTAGCAAGTTTACTACAACTTTGCTTAAGGGTGCTCCTCCATACAAACACTCCAAGCTGCACTTTTTAAATAGTCAACAAAACTAGTTCTAGGGTCAACATGAGTCAACTAGGGCTTAGAAACCTAATTTGGACTAATGACCTTTATGAACATTGTTCCTAATGACATTATAAATGTAGCTAGGGTGTTTTGGTGGGTCACCACATTCATTTGCATGTGATGCAATTGCTCTAGCTTCTCAAATCAATTTAAACATGCATTTGCAACACATGGAATGTTAACTCGAAACAAGCGAAACAATCCGTTGAAACACTGGACCCTAGTACATGGGACATGTACAACCCCTCTAGGGTACTAGGCATAACACACAGACACCACAGAAGGTACAAACATACATGAGCAGTAAAGAACACCGTGTTGCAACATGGAAACATAGAATGATGCACATGTGGTAATGATATGAATGTGCTTATGTGATGCAATGCAGATGCACCAATGTAAGGCAAACACCAGGGGTGTTACAGCTCCCATAATATACATCTTAAGAGCATCTTTAATAGTGACCTCTAAACTAGAGTCTCTGATTTCTCAGTAGAGGCTTCGTTCATCGTTCATTTTCTGGAACTCTATTTTTAGCATCTTTGAAGATCTTTTATATCTAAACCCTTATTTTATTCTCTCTCTATTCTAATATAATCTCCATGTATGTCTTTCATATCACATCATTATAATTCAAATTTAAACATCTGTAAACCATATAAATGAATCATATCAAATTCACGATTTCAAATAAGTCAATTAAATTCAAATTATTCAAACATAAATTATATGGGCATATAGAAATTTCTATCCCATGATCACATCACTTAACAACAAATTACAATAAAACAAAAATGGATCATACTAGCATGAGGTCTCGATGATGCTCTGGAGTCTGGACTGTAGATCGATCGGATCCACGTCAGCTGCCCTAGCTGTCACTGACTCTGGCGGGGCCGCCGCGTATCCGGTTCTCCATGCAACCGAAAGAAAATGGAAAACCCCAGGAACCTGATCGTCGGGCATCGGCTCCCGTCCGGTGGTGGCCCCAAGAGAGACCCCGCGTCGGCGGCCCCACGACCCATCCCCACCGTCAAAATCCTCACACCCGTTAGATCGAACGGCTCCCATCTCCTCCCGTGCTCGTCGGGGCCTTGTTTCTTCTTCTTTCTATAAAATCAATCAAACCAAAAAGCAACGACCGCGTCGAAGCTTAGGTGCAGAGCGCCCAACCAAACCTTTCGCAGCCAAATTCCCCACCGCTCCTCCGATCAAGCCGCGCTAGGGTTTCCGCGCGATGCCGAAGAACAAGGGAAAGGGAGGCAAGAACCGGAAGCGGGGCAAGAACGAGGCGGACGACGAGAAGCGGGAGCTGGTGTTCAAGGAGGACGGGCAGGAGTACGCGCAGGTGACGCGGATGCTGGGCAACGGCCGCTGCGAGGCGCTCTGCATCGACGGCACCAAGCGACTCTGCCACATCCGGGGCAAGATGCACAAGAAGGTGTGGATCGCCGCCGGGGACATCGTCCTCGTCGGCCTGCGCGACTACCAGGACGACAAGGCCGACGTCATCCTCAAGTACATGAACGACGAGGCCCGCCTGCTCAAGGCCTATGGCGAGATCCCCGACAACGTCAGGCTCAACGAGGGCGTCGTTGACGAGGAGGACGCCGGCGCGCAGGATGACTATATACAGTTCGAGGACGAGGACATCGACAAGATCTGATCGCCATCTTCCACGGTCCCTTTCCATCCTCTGCCTCGGCCGGCCATGGTAAACTAAACGTATGTATAAAACAAATGTATCATTCTCTTCTTGACTTGTTGTGGCGGTTACCATTCTCTCTCTTCATGTCTGAAGAATATCTGCGATGGTAGTCGTGGTGATGGTACTGAGAATTCTGTTGTGTGATACGGGCGGCGAGTCCTATGTACAAGGATTTGGGGGCACTTGTTGTGCCCAATAATCGTGGGGAGTCCATATGGTGACATAGCAAGTATGGGACTGAAACTGAACTGATTCCTCTCCCTTTGTGTAATATGATATATTTGGTTGGGCATGATCCAATTTTGTTCTAATAATGCCTTTTGTGTTCAATTCATCCACGGTTTTCTCTGTATTCAACTAACTGGGTTCCTCACTTTGGGGTACATGGTTATTGTGAGTCGGAGGCCAGTCTTTTGTGGTTGGATTATGGTGGGACCCTAGTCTCTGACCAGTTTGCACAGTAACAATAATTCAGTGCAATTTCATATCTGCTGAATATTACCCATCTCTACTTTCTACTTGCAATGTCGTGCTCCCACACAATGCTAAACTGTTGCCCAATACACTTTGCATTCCTCTGTTTTGTTGCCACCTGTGCTCTACCGGCCTGTTCGCTGGTTAGTTTCTGGGCTGATTTGGGCTGGCTGTTGCTGATTTGTTGTGAGAGAAAAACACCGTTGGCTAGCTGATTTGGGCTGGCTGAAACCAACAAGCGAACAGGCTGTACGTTGCAACATTGAACATGTCTAGTGGCTATATCTATTCCTACCATGTCATCTTTACCGACCTGCATACGACTTTAGATGTTCATGAGGCAATTGTGGAGCCAAATTATCTTTTCTAAGGTTTTATTAACCTTCTTTAGCACAATTGAGTAGATGATTAGAGTTGACCACCGTTATGTAATTAGATGATTACTGGGTACCATCTGGCTTGTACTGTTTGTGACCATGCTTTTGCACTGTTTTCTGTCAGGTCCTGGTGTAGCTAGAAAGTATCACTCTTATGGCCCTGTTCGGCTTACCCCATATTCGGCTTGTTTGGCTTCTTTTTTTAGTTGGAATAGTATTTTTCTCTCCCAACAATTCAGCCGGAACAGTGTTTTTCAGCCAGTTTCAACAAAGTTTCAGACCAGCGAACGGGGTGACATGTGCCATTGGGTGGATAATTGCGATCGTTCATGTTCCCTAGGTCCCCTGTTTGGGAATTGTATTATTCTTATATGAGTCTATAACAAGCCTCCTATATGCTATATCAGTATGTTGAGTGATATGAAGTTACCATTTATTCCCTCCGTATTATGATACTGTAAAATCTATAAATCCGGCACCATAGAGTCTCCAGAATTAGATAATCGTTCACCAAGTGGGATTGCAATCAAGTAATTGGATTTTTATTGCAAAGACTTGTGGGATTGGAAAATGAATTTGCTGGATTATATTTGCAATATTGAGGCATATATTATTTTTTCGGTTCACACTTATACAAGTATGGTTTGGTTAGCCTATTTCCTTCCCATGAAAATCAGAGCCAATTCAGTATCTATAGTTTGTCGAGATTAATATAATGCTTTCCTTGTTAATATGCTGTGATTTGTGTCATCTTATCCTGTTGGAAACTGTGCTCTCATCTCTTGATTGGAAAAGAAAATCAGAGCTCTCTTGATTGAAAAAGGAAATCAGAACTCTGGATCTTATGTTATCAGATTCACTTACTGGATCTCGTCACTCTTGTTATTTGAGTGGGTGAGTGTGATACACGTATATGAATCTTTTTAAGTTTAACATGGTTCAGTTTATTTGAAGAAGATACAATTATAATGTTGTACTAGCAGGATCCCCCGCGTAGCTGCGCGGGCTAGCAAGCATAAAAATGTAGCATGAGAAGGCAGCAGTAATGTAGAAAACTGTTGTAAATTCCGTAAACAATGCAAAGCACACAGTGAAGAATAAGCACTATGAATGTGCATATGAACCTATTACATTCTTCCATTGAAATAATGTACAGAAGGAAACTGTAGCTAGGTTCATAGTTTGAGACTCAGCAGCAAATTGATTTGGTTTGGGTTTGATTTATATGTGAACATTTGACGTACAAAAGGCTGTTGCCATTCCCGTTTCCTTTTTCTGGTTTGGCTTAGTAGGGTGTATTTCTTTGTGCAATTTGAAGAAAATGCTGTCCGCACAAGGGCCCTTTCGGTGCTGCTCTGCCTTTTAATATTCTCACGTCTCTAACTCTAGCAATAATTCAAGCATATATTAGTATATGCTATATGGCGGCTGACCTGTAGATGCTTCCTGCCCGGCGAGTTGTCGCCCAGAACATGCCAGTAACTGAGGCGGCATCTAGCTCAGAATGCGCGCTGATCCTCGGATTGGAGAGATTCCGTCTAAACTAGCGAATGTGGCACCACATTTTGTTTGTACTGTTTGATTTGAAGATGGGCTACAAATTCCCTAGAGCAAAACGGATATGGATACCGCTATTTTACCATATTTTAATTCGAATTCTAATTTGAATACAAGTACGGATATTGTCGGATACTAATGTAAAATGGATATCTCGAATTCGGATTCGAATACAGATTTCGAAGATAATATGTATCTATTTGCTTATCAAGAGTTTCGTAGTATAATAAAAACTATAATGGATGAAGGGATTAAAAATATAGCTATATAACACCGTGGATAAAGGCAACTACCAAAATAAAATATTTTAATCGATAATATATATTATTTACTAAATATAAATAAATAAAAACAAATTCTAGAAGTATATGAATAAAATAAAATACTAATTAATATTATTAGCCATGTTAAAATTAATATAGCTTAAGATTTATATAACATTAATAATATTTAAAATTACATTAGCCATAGATAACTTTTAAATAACGATACATATAATCTTTTATGGTAAAACTATTTTTACTTACATAGTTAATTAGTCATAATTATAAGATTTAGATGGTTTTAAAATAATTTGTACTTCGCGGATACGGATAATATCGAATATTTCATATTTTTGTCGAATACAGATGTAGAATCAGATAGAGAATAATCTTAAAAAACGAATGCGGATACATCCATTTAACATCCATATTTAAATCGAATACGGATATAGATATCCATATTTACAATGAAACAGATATGGATATCGGATGTTTCGGATATATGGACATCCGCATCCATCCTTACCCAATGCAGCGCGTAGTTTCTTCTACCATCAATTCTCTTAATAATAAACCGTTTCTTCAATGTTTATTCTCCTCAATAAATTACATGCCACATTAGCAAAATGTCTATGTTGCAGGATAATTAATATAGATAGAAATCATGCTAGTTTCTACATTGAGAGTACTCTAATATCACAACTGTAAGCATTAATTACTAAATTAATACAATAAACTAATTATCACTAATTGCCTTATGACTGATCAAGAGGGCGGTGTCGGCTTCTGGCGGTTCGGCCTCAATGTTTGACAAGAGAGAGATTTTGGAAACAGAAAATTGTACTCCGTAGGTGAATACCCAATGAGGAGTTGAGGACCCTGCTCCGGATAATAATGATGGGCCTTTTTCATTTGAGCTCTTTGGTTTCGGCCATCACGGGCCAGGCCCTTTGAACCTACCTCCTATGCAACAACAAAATCCTCAGAGGAAGCAGATGCAGTGCTGAACATTCCTCCTGCTACTCCAGCAGCCGCCTTGCCAGAAGGTGCAGTTTTTTTAAGTTCGATGGAGCTCAGTCAGAAACAAAAGTTAAGATTGATTTTATGTTTCAATGGAGCACAGGTAGAAGAACAAGTCCAGATTTATGTTCTGCAAGATGAGCTTGCAGCTCAACCCATAGCAAATCTAGCGCTATTTGATCTGAATCTTGTAGCTCAAGCTCAACTTCAAGATATGGAAGTTGTTCTGGGAATCTTGTAGCTCCTTTGCAGCCTCGAGCAGCCCAAGAAATGTTTAAGATAATCAAGTTGTCACACATAAACCTGTGCAGGGTGAGGGCTTCCTGGAGCACAATGTTATCATTCATCAAGTTGGGAATAAATAGGCAAACCAGCATCATATGGTTGGGATGGAGGATAATGCTCAATCTAATTCCTCCATCACAATATCAGAGGCAGATACGCTCATGCACAACCGCACAGGCTCTTGGCCGCCGCTACGGTTCTAAAAAAGCTAACCGCCGCTACGCCACCCGCAAGCTCGCAACCGCGGCCGACGACGGGGCGAGCGAGAAGCCGTGACCGCAAGTCAGGCGATCGCGACCAGCGCCTCTCCCTCTGTGAGTCCGCAGCCAGGTGAGTTGTCTTGTTCAATCTTCGAGAAAGTAGGATGGCTCTCCCACCGCTCCCTCCCCCTCCTCGCCGACGCTCCCACCGGCTCTCTCCGGCGATGGCTTCTGCTGATCCTCACTGCTCTCCATGGCTGGACTTTCGGATCTATGCTTTGATCCAGGGGTCAACTTTGGTAGGCTCATAGCCCAACGCTTCAGCTGCCTGGTGAGTTCACCGTCCTCGACTTCTGCATCGCCTTTTCTCCTGGTTGCTAGTTTTGGGAGGTCAGCCATACGCCTCAATGAGGATTCTGTTGGGCTCCCCTGACAAGCCGCCATTGGTGGCAAGGCACGTGATTTCAATGTCATCCACCTCTCCGGCTGGATGTTTCGCTTCTATGTTAGTTGCAAGGATGTGGGCTTCATGGTTTACAACCTCAAGAGTTTTGTTTGCAAAGAGTTTGCTGTCTATTTCTTTCTTTGGGGTAGAGGTGGCCCTAATTGGCGCCGAGATCATGCTCTTTGGTGCTTAGAACAAGAAGCCGAATGGACCTTGGTTGGATCTAAATCTAAGAAAAGCTTTGCCGATGTCGTTCGTTCTTCTTCGCCCAAGTTAGGATCACACCCCTCTCCTGTCAGAAAAAAGCCTGTGTTTCTCAGGCTCAATTATCCAAGCA